CTGGTTCCAAAAAATAGCGAATGGTTATTCAAATTTCCCAGCATTATTGACAAAATTAAAAGTATTAAACAATTCTTTTCTTGCTAATCAATCCCCGAGGGTCGGAAATGTGAAGATTTATGACTGTCTCCTACGATTGACTTTCGATAATTATCTACTGTCTTTGTGAAGTGGCTACCTCAGACGGACGGACGAGCCAAAAAAACAATGCGAATCTATGTCAGTTCAAATCCCATCAGGAGGTCAGTTAGCCTGGTCAGAGGGACTTCGTAGATAATGGATAATGGGGTGGGGGTCGGAATTGAGTGTATTTCGACAAGGAGAGAGGGAGCTAGAGCAGGAGAGATATGGTTTAACGTTATAGTGATAGATGAAACCTTTGCACAGAGAAGGGAAGATAACAAAATCTATCAAAGAGGTTAAAAGAAACATACTAGGCGGCTTAACATGTCTAATTATGTAGATATTTATGTTGGTTATTCGTTAGGCCTACACAAAACCAAGTATTTAAAGATTTATCAATTTAAAATCAATGAATACCGGAGAGGAAATATTATTACATGTTCACATTTATATATATCTTTATATTTTATATTTTTACTATGAACGAATTTTGAATTTATATCTTGTAATATCTGATTTCACGTGTATTTATTGTAATGTAATTTTTTTTTATCAATTTGTAAAAGTCACACAATTCAGCCTTCGGGCTGCGAGATGATTTTTAATAAAACAAACCATTTATATATATCGAAGAGCAGTTGAAGAAGTTGAAAACTGTTTCTTGATACGATTTATCTAGAATAACGATGTACAAACCATGATAAATTATCAGGTTCATGGTTGAGTTAGATATACTCTACATTACTCAATCATATTTTAATGAGTTCCGAGTGTTACGTTACATCAAACAAGGTTCCATTTGTCATATATTCAAGGAAATAGTTGAAAATATTCGCAAGACGTGGAGAAGTTAATTGCCCTATATATATATTCTTGTTCTGTTCACAGAGATAGTTGAAGATATTTGCAAAAGGTTGGGAGAGTGATTGCCCTAATTTTGGAAATGGGATGGGTTGGGAGGAGAGGTGAGGTGAGGGTAAAAGGTTAGTGGAAGCTGAAAGACGTCAAGAAGCTCTTAACGGTTGTCTGCGGGAAGAAAGATAATGAAGACTGTCTCTTGACAGAAAAATATAGGCTAGGATCCAGGACAACCCAGTTTTTACTCTTTATGAAAAATGGTTACATTAAAAAAAACACGTTCGGATTCCTCTTAATTAAACTTAGAATATAGCCTAGATGAGGGATTATAGACAGTGAGAGCCATAGGAAAACTCCCAAATAGCTCTATGAACAAACAAGTCATTTGCTGGTAGGTTATAGTTAATTTAAAGTTTTACAACAAATACAGATAGGGGTATTGAGCATGGAGTATAAGCTAGCAAAGCGTATGCGGTGGGGGTTCTTGGTGATTTGAAATCAGACCAAATCGCGAAAAACTGAACGCGACTTCCCGCTAATTTGGTGAAATGTAAACAAACCGTGTCCACTTTGGACGCTCAGTGAGAGATGTCTCTGAACAAAGATAGAGGTCACTCGAGGACACTCAACATCATCCAATCAGAGAGCCGTGAAGAGAACCCCTGATCCAATCAGAAAGTTCATTGTATGACAAGATATTACATGCTCCATTTATATCTTAGCAACACACTTACTTTCCGCGTTGTGTGAAAGTACTTCCAAAGACAACCTAGACTTTGTTTTAAATCATTATATTTTGCATGATGGAAATACCAGTCTATGAAGATTAGAGCGCACACTACTCATAAAGCTTCTTGATCATTTTGCTCAGTTTCTACCTTGAACAATCGACCGAACATGAAAGACATAAGATCAATAGAAAACATCACTGTTTTACTTCTACTTCTCCCTTTATCATGTTGATCCATATTTGGGCTTCCAGCAATTATGATGAAACAGAAATAAATTGTAACAAAACATGGAACACCTCACGTCTCTAGACCTGATATGAAATCTGACAGGTCCACCCTTACCTACCGAGATTGTTTTGACCCTAAATTAACTACCACTTTGTAAAACCAAATGGTAAAATAAAACCTTTAAACGAGAATAAGAGAACAAAACATGAAATAAAACACAGCTGTAAATACTCCAACATATCGGAATATATTTTTTCATGCTGTGTATGATGTTTTTCAGTAACACTTTATAATTATTCAGGCGTTACAAGATTAAAGGCTGCTTTAGCCTTTACGATGATGGTGATAACACCAAGACGCAATCCCCAACCGATGTGGTTAACTATTCTGACTTTCTATGTTTTATTTTCATTACTTTTGTTATACAAGTACATGTGTATTAATTGATGTACTTTTAATGATCAGTGCAGTATTATTAAAGCAAAAAGTGAATAAAAATATGGTAAAGCTGTGATTGCTTGCGCTTCCTACATTAATATAATATAATGGTAGGCAGCATTTATTCTCTATTTCTCCTATAGTATCACCGTGGGGTAACTGTGTGTGAGCAGCTGTTCTCATTCAAATTCTATAAAGCATAATTCATTGTTTTTGAAAGAAATGATTGACAGGTATTCAAAAGCACTTCATCAATCCTCTCACTATCATAACAAGACTCTCACACTCGCTAAGCATCTATCATTCAATTTCCCAAACCATTAAAACAATAATGGTAATAATCACTTTAACCGCTCATCGCTTCAATATATATATATTTGGATCTTGGCATCGAGCCAAATATTGTGAGTTCACCATCTCAAAATGTTATTTATTCCTCCCCACCTTAAAGGATTATTAAGGCATATACTAAATCATCCTAAATTTCATCGGCTTGATGCTGGATTGCTAACAAACTTTTGAAAAAGTAAAAACAAAAACTATCTCTCCAAATATGAAGGCCCTATAGCTATTCTTCATTTAAATGTCTCACCCAAAATTTAAAATTCGATTTGTCATACCCCGAATAAGCAAAGTTCTTTCACCTGCTCAAGCCCTTTAAAGAGAGGCTAATACAAGCCGGTACCACCTGCGTGTTATTTTGATTTGTCTTAATGTAGTGACATGCGGAGAGGAGGAGAGCCGAGCGAGCGCGCATTACCGCGCTCGCTACTGATGTTGACATTTCGCTGCGTCTTACATCGCTTTACTAAGTAGGTTCCTTCCGATGTATTCATTGCACGGAAGGATGAATCAGTCGGGGCGTCAGCGAAACGTCTGAGTAGTGTCAAACTATGGCCATCTATGTTATGACAGCACAATAAAAGCAAAGTTGTTCAAAACAGATTTTGGTCAATGACTTTGAAAAATAGAAAATACACGAACCTGCGCACCAAAAATGGGTCATAAGGTTATACAATATATTAAATTTGACACCTCTTATAATCTGTAATTTGTAATCTGTATTTTTCAGATATTTGTGATTATAAAGTTTTAACTTTGATCTGAAAGTTTGAGAGATCTTTTTATAATTTTTATACAATATCCCTTTTCACTTTCAAGGATAATTAGTTACCAGGGTTACGGAAATTATTTTCAAAAATTTGCTTTAAAAAAAAAAAATCGCATATGATGCACACAATTTTCCGTTCGCTGTTTATCAAGTTCAATTCAAGTTCAATTTATTTCTCCACAAATGCAAAAAATAGGGAGCTACATAAAATATAATACATACATACAATACAATAACAGAACATGTACATCATTTTAAAACGACTCCAGTTGGAGCAATGTATGTTTTAAAAAGAAAAAATAGCAAATGTGGTAGGTCAAAGGGGTAGTAAAAAATCAAAAATAATTTGTTGAGGACTACCCCCAATAATAAAAAAAAATTATACAATTAAAACTTAAAAGTAAATATAAGGTAGAATGATGAGGTGGTACCAATAACGAGAAGGAAGAGGGAGAAAAATATCAAAGACAGGGGAGGGGGAGTAGGCCAGTAGGCCAGTAGGCTTTCTAGAGGGCTTTTTGGTGTTTTTTTGCAAGGCACATGAACAAAAAACATGCAACAAAACACCTATTCCCCCAGCCCCCAGAATTCTACGTATAGAACCGCTCCTGTGTTATACATTAATTAGTTTCACATGACAACAGCACTTTCATTATTACAGTCCAAGGCCATTGTGACTTTTGTGAGACTGATTTTCATATCACAAACTAGGTCGGCCCATCCTTTGAATCAATGGCGTTCAACTTTGAACGTTTCCCTGAATTTGTTATTAGGCTAAAACTTTGTTCAAATTGACATTGGTGATAATGTTAGAAGTAGGACAATCTTGTTATTCTATTTCAAAGCCCACTTTCACCGAAGCATACTTTTTGTTTTGGTGGGTGACGTGGGTCACATTTACTTTCTGCCTTTCTATCCTTATATCTTCTGTCTCTCTCGCTGTCTTTCGATCCCTCGGTCTACATTTTCATCTCTTTTCGTAGTCGGTCTATAAAACCCTTTCACCTAATATATGTCAACATTTATCAGGTTAGATATCTAAAAGAAAAATATTATCTTTCAAAAAAATTATAATAAAGAAGGTATATCACAGACTTGCCGGCTAAAAAGCAAATTCGTCAGAAATCAGGAAAAAATATTTAGAAAATAAAGAATATGTAGACAGGATATTTTCCTAACTTAAACAAAGTAGAAACAAACACAGAAACAAACAAGCAAACCAAAATAAACAAATACGAAATATATATGATACAAACAAGACAAAAAGCAAAAGATGCAAAAAATGGACCTCAAATATATATATATATATATATATGAAAACAGAAAGTGATTTCATATTCCGTATAAATCGAATTCTTAACAAATTATCCATGGTTAATATAACAACGTTCATGAATCAACGGTGAATAAATGAGAATACCCATTACCCCTTTGAAAAACAGCTTATAGCTGACAAGGGCAATCCATCCCATTTGTGGAGAATAAATAAATAAAATTAAAAAAATACTTACCGATAAGCTGATTTGGTACAATCTTTATGCTGTAATTGACCGTATAGAGTACGAAGCTGATAGTTACACCATGGTGCTACTGTGCGTTGTATATACATTTCTGTGCCATTGCGAACATTACATGTGATTTGTTTCGTTCTCTTAAATTCACACCAATTTCCAGTCCTGTTAAAAAGATAAAGATTTGGAAACAATCGGTTACATTTCAGTTGGTAACAACTTATAACCAACAAAGAAAATACATAATTCCCAACAAACCCATACGTAGAAACAGAGATGAATGTAGATATGAAGAAAAGGGCAGTTTCCAAAAGAAATTCAGTTATTTCAGCTTTTCATAAAATGGTGTCAATTAATTTATTACTAAATCAGTTAAATATTTACAGGGCAAATGCTAGAAAGACATGAGGAATGATTAATGTTGGAATAAACATGTATGTATAGCTTCAAGGTTGGGATGATTCCTTCAAAAAAAAAATTCTAAGAAATTACTTAACATTTTAAGTTCAAGTTTATAGATCTGCTCGGATTTTCGTCTCTTCAATTTGACACAGATTTCTTTTATTTTCCGTATTATATAAACGTCCGTTTAAAATAAAAAATGATTGGATTATTGTCAAGCTATCTTCAGACTCGTATAATGATATCTGTTTTCGCTGAACAGTTGCACCACATCCTTGGCTTCAATGAAAAGAATGCAATGGAAGGGGGAAGCGAGCAAGTGATATTGATCCTTGTTTCCGATTTTGATCCTGACATGTCCACCATTGAACACGTGTAGCACGGTAGCATCTCAATCAACATCAAACACCTTGCATCCTATATACTAGAAATAGGATGAAGAGGAAGAGAAGGAGGACGCGTCTCGAGACTCTAAAGTTCATCAATCAAGGTTAAAGCCCATGTTTTCAGCATTGGATCAGAAATCACTACAACGGGATTTTGAGTTTTATTTCAGGCACCAATTTGAGAGCAATATAAAGCATTCATCATAAGTGACATAAGTAAGATAGGATTTCATGAACATAATATTGATTTATTAAAATACAAAGAGATTATAACAAAAGCGTAATTTCAATCGAATTTTGTTATTATCAATTTGACTTAATTGCTAAATTTCAATTTTAATAACAATAATCCTCACTCTCCCGATCACACGCCCAATTTCATCTGCTATACAAGGAGAACACGAGCTGACCCCCCCCCCCCCCCCCCCCCACGTTGTGATTTGAAGCCCTTGTGATGCCATTGACTCTTGACACACCTGTTGTGATGTGACAGCTAAGCTTGGCCTTCATACCGTCCCAACATGCCTCCCCCAAGCCGGAAGTCATTATTTCAGGCGACAAGGATCATGACCTCCCTTTCTACATCGTCTCAGGTATCCTATCAGGGACACCATGTTTTTAAAGGTACATCTAAACATTATTATTTATTTAATTTTTTCTATCTTTATTTCTTTCTCATATTTATAACTTATATTTGGTGGTCTATCATGAGGCCCTGTTTGGTAAGAATAAAACAAATAAAACAAATAACAGCAGCAAAAACAGCATAGATAAATACACAAGCATATAAATAGGTATAATACAAATCCTCTTTCCCGTGGCGAGCGTCATTTGATTGCGCTATTATATGCGCTAATAAAGTCTGCTAAGGGAATGACCTCATACGCCAGTAATGCCTAACAGTGGGCGCAGTGGTCATTTTGCAATCATTTTTTGACGATCTTACGCTCAAATAGTCCGTCAAAATTCAACATATCATTCTTTATCTGACGTCGGACTGTGGCAGCGGCTGGCGCAGTCTTTGACACGTCACGTGAGAATGGCATCTTTCCAGACGTGAATGTACAGACTGTGTTAACATTGCGTTGATTTACTGGCCTATTTGTTTTAATGCAAAATGATGTAAATAATGTAATTAACGCCACGTGTGCAACGAGTACGTCAGACAACCGTCAACTGTGATGCATTCCAATCAAAACCTGCAAACCGTTCAGTCTAAGTTGGTAATTTTTCGATTATGTCAAAAATAACCGACAGTAGTAGTCCTAAACACCAACATATTCTTAAATGTGTAGTTCCTTATAATGTTGCAAACAATTGGTAGAATTGCAGTAAACTCATGGTAAATCCATGTCAACGTTTTGATAAAGTCTAAAAGTACAATAATGTGAAATCCATTTAACTTGGAGGCATGTTCAGATACAATTCAATTCACAAATTCTTGTTTGAAAGAATTAACACATTTTTCTGAGCCTAAAAATATCAGCAAAAGGCAAAGTAAAAGTGGAAAGTAAGCCTAATGGTTTTGAAACCAATAACGATGTCATCTTTGTAAAAAAAAATATGAACACTGTCTGGAAGCCTAGATATTGTATTCAGGGAACATAAACCTCAAGCGAAAAGCCTGATGCGTATACGTCGATTTGCCACTTATACCTGGCGATATCAGTTAAATTATCCCAAGTTTATTCAAGGTACTCATACTTATAACATGTTTAATATAACAAAATTTCCCAAATTGTGTCATCCCACATCTGGGCCACGATGTGGTCTCATTCTCCCTCTCACCAAACACCACATGATAGCACGCTCAAATGTAATAGGCACTATATCACAGCGACACCAGTTGAGATAATAGACACATTCAGGTTTTCACTGCATCGCAATTACATTACACGCCTTTTAAATAGATGAAATAGCAGACAAAAGGAAACAAAAGAAAAAGAGAAGATCATAAAAAACAGAAAAGAAAAGAAAAAGGATTCACCCTAGATGAAATAGCAGACAGAAAGAAAAAAGAAAAAGAGAAGATGATAAAAAACATAAAAGAAAAGAACAGGATTTTTGTTTTAAATACAGCTTAATCGAAAATGAATGTCAGTTATAAGTTCAATAGTATTAATGACCGTCCAAGAATTTAAATTGATGCACATAATATGATATTGCAGCCATTAGCAAACTGATTAAGCGTAATAATGTATGATTACATCTGTAAGAGGGCTTGCGTTAAAATATTGAATGAAATTTTGGTTGTAGGTTGCCATGGTAAATTTAAGGGCTACAACGTGACAGCCTTAACGAGTAAACTAGTGTTAAAGGTCAGCCAAGCGAAATATTTACAGACTTTCTGCTTATACGATCGAAGTGTAAAACATGGTAATAGATACAAACCAGACCTCATAATAATTAATATGCTAATATTTTTATTTGCACCATCGTTTACTTCTAATCATTAATTCGACATGTTTAAACTAATTGCTCTTATGAGATACCATCGCATCTGAATCCAACTTGAACCAGATCGAAAAGACCGGAGAAAAATCAACCTAAGGCGAATTCAACAGCCTTCATCCATCACCTTTCAAAACGTGCGAACATCACAATGCTGTAACTTGTAATGCTACGAGTTATACGACAGGGAATTGAAATTGCCTTTCAGTGGATTTCCCGAAAGTTTTCAAGATCGTCTTCAAGTTAGTTTTTCTAAAATGGAGGAATTCTTTTAATAAAGTTACGTGTACTTTTGGAGAACCTTTAATGGGGAGTGAGCAGTGATCTTAACGTGTTATACACAGTCATGTACATCCATTTGACATGTTTGAAAATACAAAAGAAACTTTAAATAAAGCATCCCTCTAAAGACAATCTAAACATGAGGAATATATAAAGAATAATATGAATATTTAAAGAATAACTGCAGCATCAATGTCACAATGAGTGACCATCTCACACATACATGACTCTCACATTACTTGCACATCTTTTACTACATAATCTGGATGACCTAAATCGAGAAACTACTATTCGGGAGTAGAACCACTTACTTGTCGAGTTTTCATCGTTTCCCAATGCATGTTTTTACTTTCGTGTTGGCCTTTTGTCTGCTCTGTTGTTGCTAGGGGTAACCTTTAGACACCAACCTGTCGCTGCAAGGAGAAATCCCTAAAACGACAACCACAACTCTCCAAATCACCAAATATTATCGCTGACCGCCTCCTGTTTCTGCCTCGAGCATAACAAGTCCGTCACCGGAGTAAACTTGTTTTTGTTTATTTACCTTATAGTGTTTCGAGTTCCAACCTCTAGCTATCTTCAGAAGACGGTAAAATGTTAATACACCGCAGGGCTAAGTACACAATCTGCTCCTGGGCATCTATTAAATCTTTAAAAAACTATTTTTTAATAATTTGTCAAAGCAGGCATTTAGTTCTGTTTGGCTGTTAACCTCAAAGGACACAGTGTGTACTTTTAGAATGACTTATTAACAAGCGCCCAATATAAACTAATTATTCATCCTACATTCCTTCATAACCCTAGGCATTTTGGGGCTGTTAAATTATGTCCAATTATAATCACTTTTATCAGAATTCGCCGGATATATTCCTACGTGAGTACATAAGAATAGGGCAAGAATTTATAATGCCTATATGATAAGAACACGTTCCTTCAATTAAAAGGGTGTCGATTGTGAAGACGACTTGCTGTGCCGATACAATTTCCACTTGGTATATAAAGAATGCATAAGCTATCTGCTACTATATTTCAGACGATAACATAGAAAATGCGATTCAACAAGTTCACTCAACTGATCTATTTATTTGTAACAATAATGTTACTGTATCAAGGAATATATAGTGAAAGTGTGCAGTCTGAGAAATATGCCGTTCTTTATTATGCGTGGGTCACAGTGACAAATGTCAGCATATTTTCGATATGTAACCAAAGAAGAAAAATGTGCGAATGTGATGCTAGTAGAGTACTTCTTTTTATAGCAAATCGTGGATGTTCGTCTCTATCTTGTCTAATATTATAGCTGATATAAATGCATTCTTTGCTTCATGATTGGCACTGTCATCTACTAGGCCCACCCGTAGGTATTCATGTCGTCATGGCATGGTAGACAAGAATGTCGTGCTCATGGCAAGTCTGTCTTCTGAACTTATCTTCTTCGTTTATCATTTTGTAGTATTTGTATATTAAGTTTTCATGATGTTGATCTGTCTTAAAATAAAGTCAGATGATTGAAAAAAAAACTCAAGGTAAGTTCCACCACAGAAATATGATCAGTGATGATTTTAGCAAGCCAGATGTCATGTATTGCTAAAATTTTCAACATTTGTGAGCCACATCTTGAAAAGCATAACAAATCGAATGTAA